TTTTTGTTATTGGTTTCGCAGGTTATAAACACTTCAGGATGCTTGCATATAACGATAAATTCTAGAATTCTTATGAAATACAGTCAAGATAACTCGGTCCGGTACAAATAAAGATATATTAATATCTTTACTTTTTTGTTACTGGTTTCGCAGGTTATAAATCACTTCAGGACGCTTGCATATAACGATAAATTTTAGAATTCTTATGAAGTACAGTCAAGATAACTCGGTCCGGTACAAATAAAGATATATCTTTACTTTTTTGTTACTGGTTTCGCAGGATATATATAGTTATAAACAAGTCCATTTATTATTATTGGGTAGGATCGAAATTTTGTCCGACGTTAATAACTGGTAATCTAAAAGGATCGCCAATTTTGTCTTACCGTTACAGGACGGGCTTGTTCAAATAAGGTCTATTACTACAATCAAAAAAATCTGGGTAACGTTTTCCAAACCATTCACACGAAACTTATAAAGTAAATAAGTATAATCTGAATATGAGTACTAAACCAAATTCTAAAGCTAATTTGGTAAGTAAACAGAATTATATTTACATCCACTTACCCCGCTAACAAACCTTATTGTGTGTGTGACATTCATTGTTAAACACAATATTACTTCAATCAAAACTATTTAATTCCACAATATAAGCCATGTCTCACTCTTTGAACGGACCATATATAAACTCCTACTATTCCTGTTTCTACATTTGAGCGCCAAATTTCTACAACATCTCTAAATCAATTCATAAGAAATTGTCGAAAAAAATGTCTAACAAAAAACACGTTATTGTGAAGGGTTTTAGTAAGTTAATTGTTAATAGTTAATATAGTAAAATTATTTGCCGATTTTTATGAACTTTCTTTCAATTATTAGGTACGGTTGAAACTCGCCAACCTATTGAGGTGCTAATGTCCAAGCCTGAATATAAAAAGCAAAGGGATCTGTTTCTCCAAGGTTTCGCCCAAGTTCAACAACGAGATGCGGATGATCCCAAATCTTTTTTTGCAGTTGCTGGTATCCACGGTCTTCCATTCGTGCCTTATGACTTATTGCCCGGAGAAAAAATACCGTCTACAGACTGGAATAAAGGAGAACTTGATCGTTGGGGTGGCTATTGTCATCATGGTGATATTCTCTTTCCAACCTGGCATCGTGCATATGTATTATTGCTTGAGATGCTCATATACGAAGCAGCAGAAGAGATTGTAAATGGGTAATGAAATTTTATATTTCCTTAATTTCTATAATTTAATTCTTTTTTCATCCTCTTTTCCTTTTACTTTTTATTAACAACAAAGTTATGGAAACGGAAAAGAAGTTGATGAATATAAAAAGGAACTTAAGAAAATTCGATTTCCGTACTGGGATTGGGCCAGTCCCTCCACCCTTGTTCAAGGCGTACCTTCGGTCATACTTGAGGAATATGTTTATGTTGACACCCCGACGACAAAAAATTCTAGAATTCGAAATCCTCTTCGTGCCTATACCTTGCCTGTAAATGTTGGAACATTAACACTTGTTGGTGATACTTCTAACCCAACGCAAAGACCTTACACTCCAGGGACCGAAATACCCTTTGTACCCTATACACCAGCCGGATATGCAACCGTCAGAAATCCGGATAGCAATTATCTTACTAATGGGGATGTCACTAAGCTCAATGTTGTCACTTTTTGCAGTTCTATATTCCGTCCAACCATGTACCAAGTTCTTTTAGTTGATAAATGGCGCCAGTTCAGCAATCATGGAAATTTTCCAGATGAACCCGAAGGAAACCTTGGTCATTTTTCATCAATTGAAGTTGTTCACGATGCCGTTCATGATGCGATTGGAGGAGTTGGTGGTCATATGTCGTATCCTGACATTGCTAGTTTTGATCCAATCTTCTTCCTTCACCATGCCAATGTGGATCGCCTTACTGCCATTTGGCAAGCTTGTCATCCTGATGTTTGGATCATTGGAAATAATTATACCGAAGGCACCTTTACTAATGAATATGAAAAACTAATCGATAAAAATACCGACCTTACTCCATTCCGTAAAACTGGGGATACCTATTGGAACTCGGATGATGTCAGGTGAATACTTAATCAAATGTATAAAGTTTATTTTGCAAGTTAATTTACAATTTTTTTGTTGTTCTTGCTTAAAATAGATATATAAAAACACTTGGATACAATTATCCTGAACTTGAATCTGAAATCGAAATAAATAAACTTTTGTTTAACATGCTGAGCTATTACCATCCTAACAGTTACTTGTAAGTGTTACTTTTGTTGTTTTGTTTTTTTTTTAAATTAAATAACAGATCATTTTTAGTTAATATTAAATTATATCATCAACAGACGTTATCATTGGAAACTCACCTTAACCGTCAAGAAAAGAATGGTTGGCTCACCATTCCAAATTCGGGTATTCCTTGATTTTCCAACTGCTGATGCTTTGACTCCTGTTAACAGCCCAAATTTTGCTGGTCTCGTATCAATCTTTGCTCGTGGTAAAGAAACAAGTTGTGGTAATTGTATTTCTAATCCAGAAGCGGTAGTGAACGGCAGTGTTGACCTTACCACGTGCATGCAAAGGCTCTTTATCGATCTAAATGTTGAACCCAACCATGATGGTAGTATTACTCCCAGTTTAAAGGCTAATCAAATTACTCTTGTGGCCGTTTTGAAGGATGGGAGTGGGATAAGTCTTGAAGATGCTGGTTTAATTACTGCAAATTATTGGGTAATTGATGAATCTAATAATGATCCGAAACAATGGACACAGTCTAAAATTGGATGTGTTTATCCTCAACCTTCCGACAACTGAATAAAAGGATAACTCAGACTTTTGCGAATCACAAAATAACAAATTTAAAGTTTTATTTATTTGTTTATTTATTTTCTTTTACATGAACCTTTTTGTTTCCATTTTAGGGTAAGGTGTAAAAGGCTAATTTGTTGCCTTTCGTTGTAAAAAAAATAAACGAATTTGAATTTGCGATAGTTTATATTGCGGGAATTAAACGTTTGTCACCAATACACGATTGATAGTTTGGGTTTCGTTCTTGAATCTGAACATTTCTTCGACACCTGTACTATTATTATCTTATAATTTCATAACAAACGATATACATATTGGATATTAATTATCCCTGGCCATTTCAGTGATTTTCATAATTTTAGAAATAAAAAAAAGTTACATGTGACAAAATCTAGACTTATGATAGACCGCAAAACGATGAGGCTCAGCATTGTCATGGTATAGCATCACATTACTCTCTCTGAAAACAGAAAATAGAATTTAATTAGCTAAAGTTAAGCCGCTCTTATATTTTTTATGATGGAGCATACTGTGAATATCTTTTTCCAAAATTGCTTTACGTATTTTCCAAGCAGTCTCTTTTATTGTTAAAAATTTTAATCGACTGTCAAATTGTACGTAATGCTAGCGCTTTATGTCCACAAAATTTCATTTCAACAAATACCTAGGATCGGTATCGTTCACGTAAAATTCGTGCCATTGGTTTCGATAAACGAACTTTGAACAAGATATCTCGACAAAACAAATTTGGATTGGCTTGAAGATCAGAACTTGAGCTTTTATTTGGGTAGTATCATACTGTCATGGCGTAAAACAAGAGACATGCGACAAGAAATTTTCGAACCACCCACGTACATCTTTGTTGGATAAAAATTGTTTCTAATTTGAATTCATTATCTCACGATTTTGCCAGTACGTGATGTCCCACGTATCAAGTATGCCGTCCCGCAGTACTGATGCGATTTCACGAAACATCCTTTCATCGTGAAGATATTTATCTTACTAGTAAAATAAATTAAAGAAATTAATATTTAATTTGAATAGTGTAGTAAAAGCAGAATTAATTGTTGTGGCAGATTAAAACGAAATCGGATTAAATGAAATTTGGGGTCTTCTAGGATCCTCGTTTAATGCCTCTGAAACCCACATATTATTAAGAACAAGTGCAAATTAGTTCCAACTATACTATTTCCATTCACCATCTTGTTTACAATTGGATTCTAGATACTATAAGGATGCATGTCCCAAATGTATTGGTAATAGTAAGAAAGAGCACCATTGAACTTACTGGTTACTGTGTCCATCAGTCCCTATGCCATCTTCCAATTCTTAAATGACAAACATCAGAAATTCATTTCTTTCCTGGTAATATATTACTAGATACATACAAAATCAATGAGCCCACAAATCTCATAAATCCCAGAATACTCCATTCCCATCCAAAATCCAGATCAGAAACAATGTTCTTCTCCACACATTAATTCTAAAAGTTCATATAATATGAAACCCCATACATGAATGTTTATCATCGCATTCCTTTGCTTGTTTTTTATCGGGTTGATTACCCCAAAATAATAAATTTAGGGAATTAGTAGTATCCTTAACTGACATGTTTTCATTACATCTAACTTTTATTTTCATTTTGCAAAGACTTTTAAACATCAGGCAAGCACAAAGGTCATCTGTGGCTAACAGTGTCAGTAGACATGAAGACTTTTAAACATCAGGCAAGCACGAAGGTCACCTGTGGCTAACAGTGTCAGTAGACACAAAGACTTTTAAACATCAGGCAAGCACGAAGGTCACCTGTGGCTAACAGTGTCAGTAGACACAATGACTTTTAAACATCAGGCAAGCACGAAGGTCACCTGTGGCCAACACTGTCAGTAGACACAAAGACTTTAAACATCAGGCAAGCATGAAGGTCACCTGTGGCTAACAGTGTCAGTAGACACAAAGACTTTAAACATCAGGCAAGCACGAAGGTCACCTGGTCCCAACACTGCACAAAGTAAAAGGTCCCTATCATGCCACTTACTCTTTCGCGCAAAAAAAACTTTAATACTTGCCTGCCTGTAGAGTTTTTGAAGTTCCAGCACTTTTTCACGCCTTTGACCATTCTCGGTACTGGCTATCAACTCGAGAGATGATAATAGCGTTCCATTTTTTGTTTACAAGATTCTATACTGGTACATTCATCGAGGAATCCCAATCTGATGCTTTTCGTTCGAAATATTCATGTATCTATTTGGAATGAACAAAAGGTAAAAGGCCAGGATCGCAAAAAAAGAAGTTCATTTGCATTAACCTTCATACCGTTCTAGATGTAGACATGAGTGAAGTTTTTTAGTAAGTGATGGTGGGTTGTCGCACTATATATAAAATGAACGCGTGTTTGTGATGGCGAAAGAAAAGGGCAGTCCCCATCAATGTTATTGGGCAAGTTTAATTACACAAGAAAAGGGCAGTCCCATGATCATCGAACACACGCGATTATTATGATTGGATGCTGAATAATTTGCTAAATATAGACTTTGATTGAAATATAAAAGCCGAAGCCGCATAGTATACTGGTATATTGCCATTGTTTTATAACAAATAAAGATTGATAAATACCATTAAATGTCAGTAGTAATATACTCTTTTATTAACAAAAGTTACCCTAAATCCTATCCCAAATCCAAAGAAAAAAAAAAAAGCCTAGAAAATTGCCCCCAAAATTTTCGTATTCAAGAGAAAATTTCTTTTTAATCCGATTTCGTTTTAATTATTAAAAAATGCATTTTTACACTAGTCTATCTACTCTGCGGCAAATCAGCCATCTCGATGGGTAATTTAACAAGTGAAATAATTAGTTGTGACGCATCTCAGTTGGAAATTTCATTTTCCTCGGGGTCTTCTGTCGTTTCTTCTGGGACAAAGTAAGTGAACTAGAACCTTGTTATTTGGATATTACTTTGGGGTAGGCGACAATAAGCAATACGTTTCTGTATTGTATTCACTTGCTGATTGTTGAGTGGTTTAACAATTACGGAAATTGAGGGCAGGCATTTCTGGTTACTTCGGGCATCTTTGTACACTCATCAAATCGTAGAATACCTAATCGTTGACGACTAGTATTCTTTTACATAAAGTCGTTTTTATTTTATATAACTTTTGCCAAGTTTCATCGGTCATTCGCCATATATGGGCTTGATTTGAACATCACGCCCCCCAATTTATCCAGAAAGATAATCGATTATTTACTTGTATCACGTGAATAGATTATGACAGGACTTTTTTTTTGTTTCCACACATTTTTTTAATTTGACCAACAAACCAAAAACCCAACGGCCTTCGACTAAATTCATACGTGTAATACGTATAAGCGAAAACTATGACTTCATTCCTATTGAATACAAGTCTCTTTGTACGCGTTGTTGAACGCAGGTCTTGTACGCATTTCCGAAGCATACTGATGCGTAAATATTCCGAGATAGCGTCCAAAGGAACATCGCACGAACGACCAGCATTAGCTGTGTTTGGGGATTATATGAAGTCGAACGAAACAACTAAAGCCATTGCGGCTCTTGTTGAGCACCGGTATCCCCACGGACAAGATTTATTGAAAGCTGAATACGTGCCATTGAAGAATACCAGGCTTAGAGAGGAATTGGCTCCCTATGTAGAAGAAAAAGAGATGGAAAAATGCATAGAAACCGTTAAGAAATACCGAATGACAGTGTTACAAAAAGATGAGAAGTTTTCGTTATATTTAACTTTATTATTCCGACTCGATCGATGGGAAGTAGCAGAACTTCTCTACCGAGACTTTAAAAATTATGGAGATCCGTCCGAGAGAGACTATGGGATACTGCTTGCTGGATTTTTACAACGTAACAGATTCGATATTGCAACAGAAATATGGAATGACTACATCGCAAAGAATAAGCCAACTCAGATTATTTATACCATAGTTTTAGATGGATTCTCTAAACGAACAGATTTGACGTTTGCGGAAAGTGTATGGGAGAGAATGAAGAGTGAGGGAATTAAACCGGATTCAATAGCATATGCAGCTATGATCGAAGCATATTTTAGAGCTAAGAATGTGACTAAAGCTACAGAGTTATTTAATGAATTGAATAGTTCACACTTGAAGCTTGACGTCGTATTTTATAATCGTATTATAAATGGGTTGTGTTGGACCATGATGATAAAAGACGCAATGAAAATATATGACAAAATGGTGAACTCTAAAGGAGAACTTGAACCGAACCTGATCACTTATAACACACTTCTCAGAGGTGCGTTGTTCGCTAAAGAGTACGCTGCGGCTGCCAAGTTGATGGGAGACATGCGTGCAAGGCAATTAAATTTTGACGAAGTTACGTTGACCACTTATATTGATAGAATGCTTTCAGTGCGCGATATCGATGCAGCTAAGAAGCTGTGGGATTTATTCAAAACACTTAATCTTAGACCAACTGCTGTATCTTACGGTGCGTTGATTGGCGGTCTTATTAGATGTGGTGATGACGCCGGCGCACAAATGAAGTTTAAAGAGATGTTGGAGGCAAATATTAAACCCGGAGTCCAGGTTTATGCTAATATGATTCAAGGGTTCTTTTATCGCGGAACGGTGCATATGGCCGAGGAAATGTATGCAAGAATGCGGGAAAGCGGTATCAGTCCGACTACTGCCACTTACAACATTATGATCGGAGGTTTTGTTGAGGCCAATAAAATAGAGCAAGCGCTAGAAATATATAAAGAGATGATTGAAAGCAGGACTAAACCTAATCAGGCTACATACAGTATCTTACTCGGTGGACTGGTATATAAGAAAAATATGAAAATTGCCTCCAATATATATGACGATATGATAGCGGCCAAGTTTCTACCGGAACGGCGGGATTTGAGGAAAAGTTGCGAGATAATTGCAAACTGGAGAGCAACGCAGACGTTAAAATTGGGTGTTTCCTAGAGGACAAGGAAGAGATATTTTCACTCTCGAATGACCAATGTAATTTATAAGAGTAGTAGGCGGTATTATGTGAATACCTAACTTTTTATTAGTTGCATACAATTTGACGCGTTTATAGACACAACCTAGAGTAGAAATAATGCGGAATATAGAACAGCAAATTATAATAAGGAGAAAAAGCATTGTATTGAAGTTTTTAAATGGTAAGTTGTTTGGAATTACATAATAAATTCTCTTTTGTGTGCCCGAATATCCCTTCTTTGATATGCCGTTTACACTCGGGGCATTTTAATTTGGATCTATTGGAAAATCAACTTGCGAACGCGTTCTAGCAGAACCTGAGCATTTCAATGTCATGAAATGAAACAATCGATTATCTTAATGGTGGCATTTTATTAAAAGACGTTAAACCATATATGATACTTTTGCTCTATTGTGAGACTATCAGTACTTTTGTCAATCAATACATATTTATCTAGTATTGGCTGGCAGTCTATAATCAAAACTTTACTAGACAATTCTTGGAGATTTTGGGAGTGCTTTTCTGGTCAGCTGAAAATCCAATCAGTGTCAATTAAATGAATATGCTTGCATGCTTGGTACAGTATATTCAATGAAATCTCTTTTAAACCTTCAAATTATCATGTAACTAACAGAGTCTAAACATTGGGGTCACAGTTTGAATGTATTGGACTATTCAACTCGATAACAAGAATTACTTCATGGATTGTGAAACCTTATTGTCTGGCTTTGATGTCAAATGAGAAATAACGGCAGGGGTTAAATATGAAAGGGTAAAGTTGTTAATGTTTGGTGATGGTAGATGAACTAATATGAATAATTCTCACACGTAATATTTGTACAAAATCCAACGGCACCAAATGCGCTGAAGTCGCGAGGAATTAAATGATTTAACAAGTAGCTAAAAAACTGCCGTAATTAAATATTATTGTTTCTGAAGAGTTTATGTAAGTTGAATCGAATAATGTTACCGCTGATGTGGCAATCAACAGACGCGAAAATAGACTCAACGATAACTACAAATTGACATGTTCTTCAATTTTTCATTTAATACGTAAATAGTTAGAAATCTGCGTTCATTATTTAGACGCGCGTAAAGGTAAATTGTAAGTGAGCATTTATTATTATCGTATGCTATATATAATCTTCCATGTAGTTATTATCTTCACGAGACTAAATGGATTAAGAGCTAATAATGCAAATATACGATCGAGGATATAACGAAACTGACTTATACAGTATATTAATATTAAATCGATGTTTTCTCCGCTTTATTGCTATTCCTATTTGTTTCAGCTTAGCAAATTTGCTTGAGAGCAAGCTTGCATAAACTAACAGGCTAAGCACTAGAAGAGTCACTGGATCAAAAAACTCTGTAGGCAATTGGAGGCTAAGTGTGTAATCTAGAGACATTGTCAACAATAGCGTAATGTAGTAAGCCCTATCACAGGAAGAGAACGATCTCGTGATAAGTTTTAACAATGTTTGGTGCTAAGTAATATTTAAAATTTTACTTCCTATAAAAATCATCATGACCTTTAATTTATTAGTGCTTAAATATATATATTATATCTTTGGCTTCGAAAAATGAAAACGTAATGTATTAGTATTATACGATCCCATTAAGTTGTAAAGCTTTCGAAATAGTAGCATAAACCTTGCGACATGTAAACAATGTTGTGCGCGCAGTAGGCATAAGTTACATTTATTAATGCTCTCTTGTTACTATCATAAATGCTTTAGCACGTGCCATATGATACGTACATAATAATAGCGGTTGGCACAAAATGTCTGGCTAAATTAATATACACTTCTAGAAACGTGTTCATTGCAAGTTTTTATATCTGTATGCAAACGGTAAAACAATGTTACATCAGTCTGTAGTCTAAGCCTGTAAGTTTTAAATGCCTGGCTTTTTCATCAATTAGAAAATGTAATATCAAAAGTATTCAAAGTAAATTGTCGACTGAGAATGTTTATCAGCGTTCTATTTTTCCCATATTCAGAACTTTATGCTGGGGGATGAGAAACACTTGGTATTGGGGCATAACCAAAAATTGTATCTACATAAATATAAATGGTTAGCGCATAAAGATTTATCGGATACCGACTTGTGTTTATTTTAAATTCTGATAAAACTAATACATAAAGTGCTGATTACTCGATCAGAAATTCTAAATTATTTCGACTCTTAAATTGTCCTATTACTAAATCGTTACGATAATGTTTGTATATCATACAGCTTAATCTCTAGTTGGTGAAGAAATTAATTAGGAGTATACTTAAAGCATATCTAGTCAATCAGGGCAGATCCGTAATCATATTCAAAATTAAGGTCTACACCTGGGTTGCAAATATTCATATCGCTATAATTTAAACAATTATCACATGATCATAATTCCTTTGTCACGTGACAACGAATATACATTAAAATAAGTTTAGTTTCAACATAAGAGTGATGAATTCCGCTTCATCAACTTCCCCATCGCCATTCTTATCTGCCTCATCAATCATTTCTCGTAATTCCTCGTCTGCGAGGTCCTCTCCGAGTTCATGTGAAACACGCTTGAGATTGGCAAAGGTAATGCTACCGGTTTCATCGTCATCGAATAGGCGGAACACCTTGTGGAGTTCTTCCCTTATATCTCGCTGGGACTACACAAAATAGCAAAAAGTGAGGTAAGGGAAACGTCTTTACAAGAAAGGGGAACAAAACGTGAAGAGTGAGATACAACTGTAGATCCGTTTCTAAATTTTTATGGGAAATCGAGGCACACAATATATCGTGTCTTCCGGGTGTCATAATTCTAGATCATTCGATTCACTCTCTGATAGTTAGCCTCTTCTGCATTGTGCCTCTCCATGTCCCTCACTTCCTCTCTTAACTTACCATTTTCTCGGAAACAACTTTCAAAAACGTATCAAAGTCCACTCTACCACTTCCGTCAACTTGTGCGAGTATCTGCTTGACTTCATCCCGTTTAACTTCGAACCCCAAAACTCTCATTGCCACCTTGAGCTCCTTTGCAGCAATAGAGCCAGAACCATCGGTATCAAACAAGTCAAATGCTTCACGAAGTTCTTGGTATTGATCAGAAGTTATGTCATACTCGGTCTTTTGTTTCTTACGGCGGGAGGAAGATTTCCTGTAAGACTATATAGCATTGGGTAAGTTTGGTAAAAGCAAGGAAGGGATAAAGCATGAAATTAGAGTCGGTGGTTGTAAGCAGTCCAATGTTGGAAGAAGGAAAGTTGTTATCTTGATTTTCAGTTTTACCATTGTCTTGAAACCGCGAAACTGGTGTAGAGCAGATAAAATACAGGATTGCCTGAATATGGGAAATGGAATGGTGTTACAAGTGGTGGCTTAGCTACGGGTGACATGAATGATGTCATCTTGCCTGGAAAAAAAATAGTCTTTGTGTTGAAATTCCCGTCGTGTAACTGTAACCAAATAGCAACGCTAAAATGATGAACGTTCAAATTAGGAACAGTGTAAAAAGTATGAACACTTAAATTAGGAACTGTGCTAAATGATGAACATTTAATTAGGAACAGTGGATCGACGACTGTACTGGTTTCAAACATGATGTAAATCCAATGTTGACTATGGGATCGAAACTTTGAATTGTACCATATTAATATCCATAGCTTACATAATTTTATCATAGATCATCTGTAGTAATAGATTCGGGTCTCCGAAACTGCTGAACGCCACAGATTTTATTTGTCGAACATTTTCTTATTCAGAATAGAACTTCTCTTATAAATACTTGGCTAAGTGCCACATTTATTGATTCGTTAGTATCATAGTTACTTTGTTTTTACTATGCACAGCTGTCTAAAAATAGCATTGGTCATTGTCAATAAAGATCTTCCATTAACTATAAATACGGTAAGGTTCCTGTTTCGCCCGCCACAGCAAAAATCCCAAACTACCACCAAATCAATAATATTAATATTGTCCCACAGACTATTACTATGAGCATTTTAAATTAGGTCAACAATTCACTATTATTGAATTCTTTTTGCAGGATAGTTTAACTGGACTTGTTTTCAGTCTTTTCTTCATACAACTAATTCAAGCGGTCGAGCCAGAAATTTTTTACGTCCAACTTGACAGTAAACTACTCAATCAGCGAGAAAACAATAGAAAGATTACTTGATAACAAATTTGAGCTAGAACCTGTTTTTTCGTTTAACAAAACGAGTAATTGCGCGTTACGTAAAGAAAAGATATTGATACTTCAACTTCTACCTGCAAATTTAACGATCAAAAAAGGGAAAGGTGCCAAAAAAGTTTATAATAATGTATAGTCGTGCCGGCTAATGCAGAAGAGCGATTAATTAACTGCCGTTGAGATTTAGCCCTTCTCTTCGACCGTTGGTGCTTGTTTTCCAACTTATGTCAATTTACAATAATGTCTTAAATTCCCGTCTTCCTATTGGATATAAGAAAGGAATCGTTGAGAAATAGCAATTCGTTGGTGTAGAAATACATGTGCTTTTTTTTATTATTATTTCGAAGTGTGACTTTGCTTGTTAATAAGATTGACCGTTTTTTCTACAACTTATGGCAGGTACTCGTTTAGCATCAATTCTGTTGGTCTATTTTCTGTTATTTACATGCTAAAGCAGGAATATTTTTTTGCTGTTTTTTAGCATCGTAAAGTGGACGCCTATATACTTGCTTGTAGAATGCATTTTGCGGTCAAATATCAATTGTGATAGCAATAAGAAATATAATAAAGTACAGTTATTTTAAGAGTACACTTTATTATGTTTCTTGATCTTTATTGGAGAGTAGGATATTCTCTTATGTTGTGCATTGTTATTACTTCAACAGTTGATGCTTTAATCATACGTTTAAATAATTGTTGCTTCAATCTTATAATAATACCAATGCATAGATATAACCAAGGACTTTAATCATTCTGCTTTCATTATTAGCAACTGCGCGGTTATAGTATACCGTTTTATTTACTGTGTCGTCTTAATATTACGAAGATCACATAATAACGTCTGGTAAGTCTGCTCTCCGGTGCGGTTCGATATATAATGTTTCAAGTCATAATAAATTATGTAATCCACAATAGATCATCGGACTTGTCGAGTTTGCTGTGTGCCTTTTTGTAAAACGCTATAGTCTACATCGTATTGTTTATAAAGTTTATGATATTTGCAATTAGTAACCGTAGTATAACGGGATTGATGACATTTGGGATAAAGGATCGAGTCGTCTCCTCGGCTTTACAAAGAAACAGTCTACTAGTTTGCAAAACTTATTTGATCATTTGTTATGTAGAACCATTCTAATTTGTGTCTATGAACTTTTTTTTATTTAAAAAAAATTTTTTTCTCCTTAGTTGTTATCATTTTCTTCCTTTTCCCTTCTTTTTTGCTCTTGCCATACATTAAATATCATTAATTCAAATTACTTAAATATTACCATTACACCAAATTTACAATTACTCTTATAGTAATAAATAGATGGATAACTACACAGTTATGGATAGGCAACAACAACTATTGCAACTAATCTGAGCAGATCCTTCACACGTAGAAAACCCTGCCACCTGGTGGACCAATTAAGAAACAATGGTTTTTGTTAGTTGCCTTACTCTGTATATATCCATTTACAGTAGGATGCAAAATATCTAATTCGGGACACGAATGAGTAACGATTTGAAAGTTTCCCTGTATATAGTGTATAATAAACCCTGATCACTTGTAAAATTTCAGCTTGATCGGATGTCTCCAGTAAAAATTACAAACATCCAATATTTGCCTCTAAAACATATGAAAAACATATAAAGCATATAAAAAACCTACATCGCTTATTTCAACTTATACTTCAAAAATCCATATCTCCATGTTTCTAATTGATTTGCGGGATCTTTTTTTTTTTTGTTTGTTTATCAAACCAATTCCTACGTATTTCTTTAGATGTGGTAGTCGAAATCTCTATTATACACGTGAACGATCTTTATAAGTATCATTATGCCGCACAATTGTTTGTATTTTGTAGTAGAGATCACACAGTAATTTGTTATAAAATTACATGAATGCAATTCGATGGTGCAGAGGAACAAAATAAAAAAAAAATCACAAAATGTGGAATACGTAAGTTAGTTTATGATCAGAGTAAATGCGATACTCGTTTATTGATAAGATAATAAAGGAATCGGATAATAATATTATTAATGGAACTTTTAAACATTCGAAACCACACCGAAACTAGCTGACTCCTACGCTGCTTTTATATCTTTCGAGCTACTAATTGTCCTATTTTTAGCACCGTTATTCTAAGCTACGGTTATTGGTTTGTTTCATTTTTTACACTAAGTAATCGCTTTCGTGCTTCCAGACTGTTGAAATTTCAACATTTCGTACTAGGATCTAAGCTGTGCCACACATGGCGATCGAAACCCTTGTGTTACCATCGGAGCTGCCAGGAGGAATACGTCACTAAAAATCGTCGATATTATAATGGCCCCTGTAGGATATTTGATTGTTCATGTTAGCGGTATGCAGCATCTACGTTTCTATAATTTATTGCTTGTTAAAGAAAGTCTTCGAAATGTGAATAACTCAATAAATATACTCACAAGAATAACTTTCGCCTCCAGGTTTTTCTCCGTGATTCTCCGCTGCATGGTGTATGTTGTAAAAGGCAGAGGTCTGTCTTTCGTGCGGCAGCAGTATGGCTAATTTTGTGAAAACTCGAGTCGAATAAAACGGAGTATTCGGATGTAAAACTTGCTACCCAATCATGAAGAAGACTATTACTCAGAAAATCATGTTCTGCAATATGATGGATGGGATATTTTGGATCCTTGTTCCAATATTGATCAGGGGAAGGTAATTTAAATAGTCCTTGATATATAACCAAGGCGAAAAAAATTGATGGGTTTGGAAAAATTGGCTTTATAATTGGGTGGTAGATTAATAAATGCTCGATGGAGTGGCTGCAGATGAACAAAGCGTTCAAAATTAGGAGGTGGTAATTGTACAGCTTTTGCTAGTCAATGAACACTCCTGGTGTCCTCTTCTTCATCTTTTGCAATGTCTAATTCTAGATTGTCTATGAGATGATGAGATGTTAACAGAGGTACATATTTTTCGTCCTTATGACTGCTTTTTTTTTCCGCCATCACTGACTACTGTTTTTCCAGCAATTTTTTGCTCTTTTTTGCTCGTATTTGATTTGCAGTATGAATTTGATTATTTAGTTCTTGAATTGCTCCTTCATATTCATTAATTTGACCAAGGAGGACCTGTCCTGGTACCTGGACATACTAAATTCAAGTGTGATGGAAGTTTCGGATTGATTAAGAAAACTATACCGCAAAACGACTGTAGATTGTGTGGATCATATTATCGAATGGCATCGCTATTTTCAAAAGTAACCCGAGTTGCCCGTTCTACCATCGAAGCCCACCAAAGTAACTTTTATTGAAGAAAGGCGCGGAGTTGCTTTGACTCGTCCGGAGCTAGCTGCAAGTTGTCGTGGACTCGTTTGCGATAGAGAAGGGCCAAGGCTCGCTATGTCGCCGTTGTGTTGTTGAGGAGAGGTTCTTTGTGGTTGCTAACTCTTTAATGGGAAGTCTGTTTTTCTTTATACAAGCCTCAACAGCATGATGTATTTTAGCATTGTCAAGTAAAAGGCGGTTTTATCAGGGGCGTTTATGTGGATACAAGTGCGCTGACCGATCTGGCTATATATGTATACGCGTGTCGCGTCTACGTAATAATTGATACGCCCGATAACAATCAAGGGATCAGATATATTATTTGTTGTGTAACAACATGTTTAACGCGGTTAAAAGTCACGCGTATGATGTTATTATTATGATTGCAGAGGGGAAAAAATGGTTAACCAGTAACAATAATGTCAATGTAATATGATATTCATACTACGTAGATGTAGACTTCAAAAAGCATGCTATTAAAAATACTTTTGTACTATTTCACATTAACAGTAAATCCAGGGCTATAACAGTGAAATAAAAGCTTGAACATTGATTGAAACGTCCAATTTTTTTTTCATTTATAGAACGTTCATACATGTTATTTACATCACCACGAATCGCATAAAATGAGTATTCGTGACTTTAGCAAAGCCGAATCTGTGGCGCTTAACCCTAATATTTCCGTGGCCTTACTATTATGTTCACCTTGTATGCATTCTCGTGCTTGTTGTTTGTTGCGATTGCGATGCGATGACTTTTCGTATTGTGACCCTGAACCTCAATCACGCGAAACTATAATTTTGTCTGTTCGGTCGCGTGTCCTATCCCTAATCTAATTTCCAGAGAATCTTGGCAAAATCGAAGACCACAAAACATTATTGATTCCGCAAATATTAATATGTAGACCTTCCAATCACATGACGCTATTGTTAGACTAGTTGACATTTTTAGAAGACATTTCCCATAACTCTCAATCCTGATGGAGACCAAGTCTAGCTCAAAACACACTGAACCAAAGCAACGCCGAAAAGTAGTCTTTGTAGATCCAGATGACTCGGAAGTTCCATATTGGTGGCCTGCCTTGGTGTGTTGTTAATATCCGAAAATGTCTCTTTGTTCTTTGTTTATTGCCGCTTTTGTTGAGTATCTCTTATTATAGGTAGTCCCACGCAAAGAAATAGATGCCTTCAAAGAAAAAGTGGATTACTTTACAAAATGTCCCGGTGAGGGGGAAAAGCTGGTATGTTATTTTGAAGACGGTTCATATTCTATAGTACCAGAGGAAGCTCTCCTCCCCTTTGACACTTCGATTCCGCCGTTTACAACGTACGTTCAAGGACCAAATTCAGATTTATTTCTGAGAGATAAGGCTGTTATGGATGCGATAGCGTACTTTGATAATGGCGTCGTTCCTCAAGTTTTTAAGTGGCTTAGAGCTGCCGACGAAGCAGGACACTCTGGACATGGTAATGGTACCGACGAAGACCACAACAATGAGAGAGTCAGTACAGGAGCAAAGAAAAGGAAAGAGAGCAGTGCTGGATTATCCAAGAAAGAAAAGGATGGATTTGGGAATGGGAAAACACATGGATCATCGAGCGGTAGTTCGAATATTGATGGCAATGGAGGAAGCGCTGGATCTGACATTAGCAACAAGAGGGAGGGAGGGCTTAATAGGAGAGAAAGCTTTAGTGGTAATACAAAGAATGGCGCATCTGGATTAAGCAAGAAGGTAAGACGGCAAGTTAAACGTATATGTGTTTCGGACAGAAAAGCCTATACTTTAAAGCATTTACCTAAATAAACCATAAACGTTTAATCTCAGCCCGCTCAATCGTCTACATCCGCGTCTCGCCTATCGAAACCGCGACCCAAAGCCAGCCATCCAACCACACCCAGACAACTGCCATACTTGAACTCTTCGTCAAATATTGCTTCAGCAACGTTGAAATCGCCCTCGTTTCCTCCACAACACAATAATTCCGCTACGAAAAATGCAACGTATTTCCATTCTCTCATGGGCTTACCATCACCCGGTTCTATGTTTTTCCCAAACGGCCCCCGATCAGATCGCATGATGTCAAGTGTATCAGGACGATGCGAGCAGTGTGGCAAAATATCGGATGGGGAAATAAAACAGCAGTGCGGTACTTGTACAGATTTCTTTGAATGGGTTATGTCTGCTGCTACTGGTGAGAAGACTGTCAACGAATGCTTGGCTGAATATGTGGAGAGAAAGAGAAGACCAGTAGAGCTTGTTGGGGAGTCGGAAGATGCAATGTCAAGGGTGTTGAGCGAGGTTTTGCCAATTGGGAAGCGTCGAAGGTGGCTTGAAAGATGTGGAGGTGGTTTGTGATGACTATTATTTGAACAGTTGTAGGTGCTTTTTGGTTATTAGATTTGTCAATTTGTCAATTAATGTTATGTGTATGATGAATTGAGTGAAGAAAATTATTACGCATAGAATTCTGTATAGATATTAGAATAATGGTGAAATACAAGATTGCTAAATCTTTATCAACCTTTGGATACATATTTACTCAGCGTTAATATTTCTATGATTCTGTGATTAAGATCGCTTTCTTTATCATCTTAGCACTCGTTCAAGTGCCAAACGCTAACGAAGTACTTGCAATGATTCCCTACCCCACTTCCTTTTTTTTCAATTAACAAAAAAGTTCTAGTCTACAGTCCTACCAAGACCTAGCCACAACAGATATGGGACCTTCATTCAGGATTTACACCATTTATCATACTACACGCGCTCTGTTGGATGTTAGTAATCTGTGAAATTCTGCTCATTGAGGTTTTAGTCTATCCGGGTGACACGTTGAAACACGTTTCTTGTATTCGGTCTATATCTGTTCCGGCTGTAGATAAAGAAATGTTATTTCACATCTACGAAAGAGGGTGGCCGCTATATTTAAACTTCCTAATGAAAAATGCTCACCATGCACGGCGTACAAATTATCATAGAAGCTTTTGCCATTGTTATTATTTGCTTTATATTTGCCGAGTGTATCTGACAAAGAGTTATAATCGTTCATATTAATATTGAGGTCATTGAATCTCTGAAATTACCGAAGATATTCCCTCTGGCTTTATTGTCGCAACGAACTTATAATTGGATTTACCAAACATGAAGGTAAATATTTCATGGTCGCCAAGAGACGCTTTTACCATTATCATTCTCTCTATGGGTTCTGCTCCGCATGTGGAATCCTCCGATGTAGTCCTGTGTGGTGCATTTGCGGTCATAAAGAATTATCCGATGGAACAACACACAACTCGATGAGTTTATTAAGAAATCTCAATTACAAACAAACTCTGCAAATGCTGCCTATTTGGAATGGATATAACTTGTCGTCTCAAATGGGGTTCGTAAACAAGTGTCTTAGGATGTTTACGACGTGAATAAATGCCAAATACTAGTTATTGATGTCGGGGCTTCTGGCATCGGCGTCTCTGAAGATTAAGATCATCGCCGCACTTTCAGTAAGAAAGATTCAAACCGTTTTGCACCCTTCATGTGAGTGACGGACGCAAGCACCGAATGATTGTCTTATTGATTTAGGTAACATGATTACAAAGAAAATTCGTTGATTCCCTTTATTTTTGCTTCTGTTGTTTTGGAGTCCACCAAGGATTGCAAATGCTGGATTTGTAATGTGTCGATATTTTTGTGTCAGGCTCATTGATCTCGAATATATCATCAAATGCATGATACCCGACCTCCAAGTTATTTATCAAAGTATCAGTTTCTCTATACATATCCTATGCAAAATAATTGTCATAATTAGATGTGTATGCCTTCCGATGACAGATAAAAAAATAATGAATCATACCATCATATATTTGGTAATTTTTACAGCTGACTTCAGCTTTTCAATTTGAGCAAGTTTGGTGGGCAGCAGGAATTTTTGTCCTGGAAAGATGACATAGAATCCGTTCACCAAATCCTCTATCAACATCTGGCCATTAACCCCAGCAAACTGCATGAAAGGAATTTTTATCAATTTTACTTGCTCATCATTCCAATCAAGCCTCAGTAACCCATTCAGAATTGATTGATTAATGCGGGTAGATCGGCATCATCAGAAATAGTTTTATTAGCAGTTGCATGCACAGCAAACTCCCACTCTCCCAGATCCATTCCTGATGAGGACGAGAAATGCACATCACCCCTAATACACATATAAAGATGAGAATTAAATGATACTTAGGACACAAAAATTAAAGATATGTTGACTTACCATTTGTGACGTATCCTGAGACCTTTATTCAATCCATCCATGATGTATGAGAATGCTTTAATGATATCAATTTCTGTGTGTCCTACAGAATCACATTCCAGCATATCATCTCCATCTATAGTTTTGTAAATACTACATATAATCATATAAATATAATGAGTTGGAATTTGTGGGCAGCTTAGGACAGGTTAAAAAAGAGGTAATATTCACAATTCACTATAGATTTTACTGATCTTGTTGATGCAGCTATCAATTGGTGAGTCATTATACTTTGCAGTACATAGCTTGAGGGCAGCTTTTGACTTGTCTTCACACACCATCTGCAAAATAAATGTGTGTGAAATAAAGAGTAAATAAACAAAAAAAATTCCAAAGTCAATACACTCACCTTCTCAACCTCTGAAATGAACAAATTGACTTCATTGGGCAGCTCTGGGACTTTAAGCAATTTCTCATGATTCTTGACCATAAACTGCCTATCAGCAGGGGAAAACCAAGCCCTCATATGTGCTGACAAATCTATTATTCTCGAGGCACCATAACACAAGGCAGCCTTTTCTGTGGCTGTTGGCTTTTTCTTTTGTTTACATGTTTTTGAGTTTTTGGACACATTCATTGTAAAGATATTCTCAACAGATTTGCCTGAAGGAAGAATCCATTTCTGTGAGTTTTTGGGGAAGAAATCAAGAACTCTGTCTGGATCAGGAATATCATCATCTTCATCATCTGCTGATGTTAATGGTGGTTCATTATCTTCACTTTCATCTGATGGTATAAGATCTAGTGGAGTTGCCTTCTTAAAATTTTTTTCATTGGGTAAAGTATCCCCCTAAAAAGAAATTAACTCATTAACTTCTGTAAATACTGACCCCTTTTTTCTGATTAATGCTTTTTTGTGGCCAAAGCCAAAAATGGGCTGTTTTTCTTGGTCTCATTCTTTATTATTATCACCTGATATGCCTTCATCATCACACTCCTTCTATATGTTAACATATTATATTGAATTGTATAGACTGCCTTTTAATAAATATAAACAATTGAGTAATTTACTAACCACACCAACATGCCCTTCTGTCTTCCTCTTTTTATTACTTCTTTGTTCTTGAATTTCTAATGTCTTGAAATCATTATATTAGTAAAAAAATGACTTCATTTATTATTATGTTTGGGAAATAACAAATAAAAAATCACCTCTTCTAATCGTGCTGTTGCTTTCTTCATAATCAACACTTTTGCTGTATCTACACTTTTCTGCAATTCCCTATTGGTTAATGTTTGCATGAGCTTGCATTATAAAAAAAACATGATTAACTTACTATTTCATATTCACAGTCCAATTCTTCAAAAAATTCGCCAATTTTTCGTTTTTGTGTTGGGATGGCATTAATCCAGAATTCTTTAATCAAATCTGATTTCTTTTCGTTCTATGAATAATAAACTATTAGTAAATTAAATAAAATTACGGATTACAATTTATTACGGTTGCAAGAATGGAATTATCCGAGGCGAGACTCATACACCTCCCGAGCGAGATCAGGAGTGCTGGATAATTGAATACAGGACGAGACCCCATCCAAAGAGCTATTGCTCTCCAGACCCATTCATTGCAACCACAGTATATGCATTGTCAGCAGGATAGAACCACCCGAGGCGAGACTCATGCACTACCCGGACGAGACCAGGGTGTGGGTGATTGAACGCAGGACGAGACCTCATCAGAATAAACTACTACTCTTCTGACCTATCCACTGCCAACGAGAGGAAAAAACAACAACTTAACTTGTACTGATGCTAGCTCTTTCAATCACTTCTTCAGGTAAATCGTCACAATCTATTATCGTTGACAGGTTATGGACATACCGCTTGTGTTCACCACATTTATCAGCCAGAAAATTTGCGTGCTGTTGTCGATAGAGTAAGAAATCCAACAATGACCAGTCGCGTTCAAGAGTAAAGTAGGCACGATCGCGTATTGGGATTTCTATTGGGAAAAAAATTTTTTATAAGTACCGGGAGGATCCAAAGCCAAGAGAGTATTATTAATTACCTTCCAGTAATTTGACAAAGGAAGACATGCTGTACAATGTATAACGTATCAGTATTCGCGATTTATTAAATTAGCGGCCGGTTACAGTAACGTGATCTCTATGTTGAACAAAATTTTTACGACTCCCAAGTTTGAACTTTGTGCGGGATTGGTCGGGAAGTATTTATATTCTTATTTAAACTTAAAAATTCTAATAATTTTAAAATTTTTTTTATCAAATTGCGAGATAATCGGATTCACAGAATCTTGTAACATACAGTAACGTGCAAAAGTATCCTACCGGTTGTATCATCTAAACGTACATAATAATAACTCCTTAAATTTTCCA